CTCATAGAATTTCCTCTAGTTTACAAATTTGCAATTGGCTAGCGGGGATACATATTTTTGGTGAGTGGTTCAGAACAATGAATTGTGGATACATGCAGGCCTACCACGATGCTTATCAACAACACAACAAAGTTCAATTTACACAGCTAAGCAAGACGCAACTTGCAGACTCGTCATTTTCGATAAATTCTTTAAAAAGCGGAAGAGCGGTGTTTAAAGAAGGAAAAATATATGATGAAAAACACACACACCACAATCATATATGAAGGGTGGAGATGGAAATATATAACTGCTTAAATAATCACATTCTCCTTAAAAGTTATTTGTCTCACTCTATAGTGTTACCAAAACTGGAAACCGCAAGAAAAAGAACAACTTTTAATTCCTGCGATTTTATGTGCCAATTTATTCTTTTCACAGATGTGAACGAGTAGATAGTTATGACAGCGATAATTACATATTCGTTCCGCACTAAAACTCTCGCTAATAGCGAGTTTAAGAGCACCAAATGTACGACGCGGACGTGACATGAAAACCGCTACTTTATACTATTAGGATACTGATATTCATTTGTTTTACGTACGGCTATGATTTTATTTATCAAACGCCCATAATTTCAATCCCTATTGAGAAACTGTGGAGATTAGAGCAGTATTAACTTCGCGTACGTGTCCTAGATTTGGTGCATCTTAAGCTCACTATTACAATGGGAGACGGCACCTTTGCTTTTCCTCAGAGATCGTGAAATTGGTGGTGCCACTACTGCATACACTTGTTATTCATACCGAAAGGATAACCCGTGATTAAAAGTTATCACCTCACCTCTTTCGTGGCTCGTACATGACCAATCTTTTTTCCAGCGTTATGGTAATCCACACCAACCACCTTATTGTTTTCGATGCACAGTTTTCTAGTAAAGGTCTCGGTCAACACAACTAGATTAGTTCTACCAAGCACAGGTTTCAAATATGCGTTTGCGGTGCTCCAACGTTTGCCCTTGTGTATAGTCATATCCATGGGACCAAACCCGGCTTGTCTGTAGCCATTCATATCAGGAGTATATTTATACCCGGCCTGTACTGCCGCATCGACAAAAGCCTTGAACAAGGGATTATCCCAGTTGCCCTGACTGACATGCAATGGACCACTGCCTCCTCTGTAATCGTCCTCGCCTAAGATTGAAACAGAGGGGTCATTGATTTGGGGGCTGTTGACTATTGAGCCCGGTTACTCGAGATTTAACGAATTTACTCGAGATTTAACGAAGCGTGAGATGATTTTGAGGTATTAAAATAAGTCTTTTTGAAACAAAACAAGCACATGTTATTAGGATGACTACAAAACTACCAGGATCATGTTATTTACTAATTTCAATACCTCAAAGTCATAGTGTATACCCTAAAATCTAAATAATTACGGTTACAATAGGTGGTTTGCAATTGCCGCCATCTTGGTTGATTTTTCAAAACATGTGCGCAAATAATTTTTTCATCGTTGCTGTATTTTAATAGTTGTTGTTTAATAGTTTTTAATAGTTGTAAGAAGTTACAGAATAGTAGCAGAAGTAAAACTTTGTAGAATCAACCAAGATGGCGCTGAATGACTGATTATGACGTCATATGCAAACCAAGAATTGAGCTTTAACTTAAACGTCTTGTTTCCTGAACTCTTCTTTTGCCCTTTCCCTTCCTATTCACATTAAACTAGGAGAAGAACCAGTGTTGAATCTACAGTTAGACGCCTCCTCCTGGTATAGACTTAATAGTTATTAAAATCAAGTGGGGCAGTGTTTGTGCCTACCGACCGAATGTGGCAATAAAAATGAAGAATCATCGCAGAAAGAGGCATCAGGCTATTTTTCAGACTTCAAGACGTACAAAATTATTTCAACTACTGCCAATCGAGGAGTTATCAAACTTCCAAATGACCTGCATATAACATTTAAATTTTCAATCCTGACCAAATTTTATTGCAATCTGACGTTTTATACGCAAATGCAATACTGCCAAATAAGGTTGTTAATTGATGCATGTTTTATAAGGTGAGCTAAATACCTAAGCAATGGTTCTGAGCCTTCTTAAAATACGGCAGACAATCGGCGTACGACCAGCCATCACATCCTTCACTCTCCCATCGATCGTAGTCATATGCGTGTCCACGAATATAAACCATAGCATTTAGCGAAGAGGATCCGCCCCAAACACGACCACGTGGACAATATATTACCCTACAACGAAGACATAATAACATCATAATGTACCTGGTAGCCTTATAATATTCTTGCCCTGTCACCGTGATCTTGAAATTCTTAGTTTGATGTAGTGCGTATGCATTCACTCAAAATCAGGAAGCTCACTTGAATGTGTAGTGTATGACTTTATATATACAAATTATTTAACCAAAGCTGCTCAAATCATTCTTGCGAGGAGCTGTGACACTACCCAATAATTCAGATCTTATAGTTGGAGAAAGCAGAGATGTCAGGCAGGAAAAGGAGAAAGCAGAGAAGTCAGGCAGGAAAAGGAGGAAGAAGATGTACAATGAAAATTTAGGGTTGGATAAACCAGCTATGGGGTGGCTGGTATTAAGTACACCAAATATTTATAGTTTGATACTAATCTGTTTAAATATTCAAAACCCCTATTGCATATCCCTGTGGCCTAGGATAGGGGGTGAACCATCCCTACCTATAAATCTACCCTTTGCATATAATATCACAAGTATTATGTAATCAGAGATGTCATCACAAACCGTAAAAAAGTGGTATGAAATATTACCTGTCATTTAAATGCTTCTGTGGTACAGTGTGATAAAACCAGTTATATTTATTATTTGCAAGGTTGTACGTCAGAGCAGCTGGCATTTGGATTGTCCATGTATTGTCTTTTGGACCAGCTTCCAACAGGGCAACTCGATTTGCTTTGTCCTCTGACAGTCTATTAGCCAGAACACAACCTGCAGAGCCAGCACCAACAATTACGTAATCAAATTCCAGCGTTGGTGTGGAGAGATGCCGGATATTTGAAAGGTTAAATCTTGACAGCTGCATGAATTCATGAACATTTCTTCTCAGTATTTGAGAAAAACAAGACATGCTAAATTTTTTTACCTAAGAAAGAAAAATTTAAAAAATTAATACTAGATACAAAGCAGCCTACTGCCTAGAGTACGTGCTGGAAATCATTGCTTGGCAGCTTGTAATGAAACACCTGAAGATCAGCCATGATGGCAAGACTTTAACTGCATTTGACTGTTTTCATTGTGTGTTTTTCAAAAATGCTGGCACAGAAACAACAAACTGTGCAAAGTGATGCACATGTTCTGGGCTATGATACAAGTTGCTTTCACTGACTTGTATGCATTAGTATATGAATTTAGTTTATCTGGAATGAGTGTGCAAGATGAAGTTTAATGCCAAAAGTTTCCGGCGAAGCAAAGACAAACATGCTGATGGTTGTTCAGTGACTTCCAATTTAAGCAGAAAGTTTTGGTTCTCCCACTGACACATTTTGACCTTGCTGGTGCACTCAGCCAGGTTAACTAACATACTAATATATATATACAGGTCAGTAGTTGCTTTACATAAGGATTTAGGGTGCACACTTGTGCAACTTGCCAGAATGTGAGCATGAATATTTGTCTCTGCAAAACATTCCTGAAATGTCAGAGTAAAGTCTGTTGACTTGCATTGCATATGGGCAGCAAATCAACTAAAGCCAATGCAGTACTGCTTTATCAATAACAGACTTTATACCATACACCACACGTGATTTGGATCCGTGCACAAACTTGCTGAAAGTTTGGGTTCTTTTCATTACATATTTACTTTGCAGTTTGCAATGGCTGAATGCCCAGGATAAAAATACTTAAAATTAACAGAGTAAACAAAACTGCTAACATTCTGGGATGGCAATGCCCTTGCATTAAAGCATTTCAAAGTTCTCACAAGTCACAATCAGGCTTATCTAGTTGAAGATGCTGCAATATTTACTGTTGTCAATTGTCATTGTGTTAGCACACGTTTAACTTGTTTGGAAATATTTCCCCTCATAAACTCGACATAATCTACGACGGAAAATATTATATATTTTGAACTATTACCTTATATATATAATATTTCTCTATACGCCAGCTGATTCTGATCTCTTCAGTTTTTGTATGCACTTTTACCGGTAATCATTTTAATCCCATGAAACACGTTCTCAGGTCGAATGAATCCCGTATTTTCCATACGCCAGAATTCGAAATATGAAAACATGTCAGACCGTCAGAGGTTTGAGTTTTACTGATTTGAGTAAAAAACTCGCAAACCTCGACGACCAGGACTCCAAGACGACTGCGCACCAGTATCACCACCAGTATCAATTGACGGTCCCGGTAAAACCAAATCTTGAAAAATTCCGATTTCCGAATCTTAAAAGCAAACCTGAAGTTGAACGATAAGTTGCTCCACGCGTTGATGCAAATTTCATTTTCATTTTTCCAGTAACATGTGTTCAAATAACGCATAGCAGGTTATATTTAAGAACCAAAGTTGTGACAGTACTCTGCAAACACAAGCAGCTTTATCGGGCATTAGGTTTTCCTCCGACCATCATGTTGCAAATTCTACTCCCAAAACGACTATCCGTGGTTGGCAGTCTTACTGTGGTCCATTCAGCGGGTTCATGTTACATCGATCACGAGATGCCTTTGGCTTTGAGATTACTTGACCCAGGTGGAAAGTTGATTTTTCGAGTTGATTTTTCTAGTTTCGTAGATAACAAGGATGGGGATTTTTTTATACCAAAATATTAAAACAACAGGAAGTTACTGCAAAATATCAACTTTCCGAAACTCATGAACCATGAATGAATATTCATATACACCTGGACTGCATTTGCAGCTGTTCAGAAGTCATACTTCCACCTAAATTGAGATTATCGATGACAAGGCTACTGCGTGTATCCCATCTTTAAGATTCCAACATATCCATTTTTATCTTGGTGGAATATATTTAAAATGAGAATGTTTAACGTTTATAGTTGCAGCAATAAATACAGATATCAAAGGTTAACGATTCTTGAAAAAATGCACAAAATCTTTTAGTCAATTTGCAATATAAGATCTAAATATTTAGATCGAATGCAAGATTAAAAAAGAAATTAGCTCATTACCATTACCATTATTCATGACGCATGAAAAATTCGACTTCTCATAAACGGGTCTTACTAAAAAGCAACTATCGATATACACCTGAATTTACTCGTTATATTACAAATTACCACTGGCAGCATTAATCACAGGAAGAACTATAATAACCGCTTTGCCAAAACAATAGGCGTAGGAAGCACATGAATGTTGCATGGAGGAAGGGGCATTTACTTCTATAAGGCACTCGCCTGGTGGAACAGGCACTTAAAGTCGACATGTATTATGTAGACTGTAAAAATAAACTGTACGAAGCCATGCAGAAAACCGTAGTTCTATATAATTAAATTTATCCTTAATCTTTACCTCAAAGCAAAAGGCACTTATTCTGTGATATTTAAAGTTAGGAGGGTTTTGGCCCCTCGGTTCCTACCCCCATGGCTAAAACACTGCGGTAAAAAAGCAAGTTTATCGAAACAAATTCAAAGGTTAGTTTTCAAATAGAACAATGACGTATAGTTTGTTCATAACTTAGCAATATATATTAGCACCAGACCCTCTCAAAGTCATGAGCATTGCACGATGTAAAAAACTTGTAACAGTTAAAAAATCTACCATCTCCACCCACGTCTATTATACCCTCTTGATCTCCCTCTTCCAAAGCGACCACGAGAACCGCCGCTTTTATATCCTCCACGGTTGTATTGGCCAGGCATTGATTTGCCTTCAACGTTACCATTGCTTGCGTTAGCGCGTCTGCCAGGCGGGAGGTAATATTCCACCTTCGTCTTTTTCTCGCCTGCTGCCTTTTTTGGTGGGGAACTAGCATCGAATGTTATCGGTGTAATTCCAGCTCGTTTCCGTCTGAAAGAATAACAAATTGCTTTTTAAAATCTGAGATGATTATACACAAGAAGATATAATCATTCGAGAAAACACTCAATTTGGCCATGACAAAACCTTTCTGAAAAAAATCTCGCCAATGGACCATTTCCCAATTAAAAATAACTGTAAAAAGGCGTTAATATACAGCTAAAAGAGCATCCTATATAGTAAGACTGGAAAGTTAAGAGGCGAATTATTGAAAAGTGTGAAAAATATCGCCGAGTGAAGATGTCAAATTTTGTACTGAGTATGTATGTTTGTATGTTTTGATATAATTTTAATATAGGCGGAATTTTTTCGATCGAACGCGGAATTTTCCACTTGAATTTATTTTAATTGTCAAATAGAATGAAATATTATATGTACAATATATTTCATAAAATATTTTGCATTTATATAAAAAATTGTCAACTTCCCATGCAGAGCTATATTTTCTATAGCTATTTTCCCAATATTTCGCAACCAAAAAGAAGGTTGCATTCAAGCATATCGCGATAAGAACGCGGTAAGACTTTCGTTATAATTACCAGTGCCTATAGCGTATCTTTACAATAAACTGTTGAGCACACACTTACTTTTCATCAAGAACGGTGTCCGTTTTCACCTCGGGTTTTTCATTACTCGCCGTAGTGCTCGAAGTAGGCTGTAAAAATGATAAAGAAAAGCTGATGTCAAACTTTCCCTTACTGTCAGCGTAAACGGAGATAAAGCTATATTAGTCACGAGGCATGAGACGTTGATTTTATTGCCAAATTTTTTTCAGCAGAGATCTGATCTGATATAAAATAAACATCATCGCTGAACCTGCAGACAGGATTGTTGTTCAAAGACCGATTATACGGTTCATCCTCCGATGCTAACAAAAAAATTTTTGTATCAGATTGGGATAGCAAGCCCGGGGATTTGGTCCCCGTTGTGCAATTTTAAGATTATCTATATTCATATCTTTTTTTCTGTCAATGTATACTGAAATATTAGCATATACAGCGCCGGACAAAATTATCGCTCTAGATGATTAATTACAAGTGGTTACATTGAAACGTAAAAATCAACCAATACATTTTATCAAATCAAATTGCCACTTACGTTCTTCTTTGTATCAACCCACGAAAGATTAACATGGTTATTGTATGAAGGCGGAGAGTGAAATAGGTCCTGAAAAATATTAAACGTTTTTTATCTTATGATTTTTGGCACTTTACTCGAGGCAGGTAAATTCTAAAGGTTTAAGGTGGCTCAACAGGAAAAAATAATGAAACATTTTGGCAGGTGGAAAAAAATATGACTGCTTTGCCCTATCTGGATAATTCTAGTTCCCTGCATAGCTAATATACTCATGATTATAACTTCAGGAACAGTTGATGAAAAATGCCACTGAGCTACAGAGGTAGGTGACAAGAGTGAAAAGGTTAAAGTGGGTCTCTACAAATATTCCTACGAAAGAGACAAGATTTCTCGAAGAGGCTTCTTGCAAGAGGAAAAGAATACTACTGCAAATATCAAGCAATATTCTATGATAACCAGGGAGCAGCGTCTTTAAACAACTTCGCATCAAATATGGTATATAAAAACTGCCAAAATAGAGAAAACACTTCATCTATTCACAGAGACATCGCACTAAGAGTTCAAAGACCTTACCTTGACTAAGGTGTGTATATTTGTTGTTGTTCGCAAAGCTTTAACTTTATATTCATTGTCCTTGCCCGACTTTTCGTTTAAGGACATTTTAATTTGTTTGATATAACATCTGACAACGTTGCCCAACATATTGCAGTCTAAATGAGTATTTGTAATAGAGCACTGGAAACAGTAATTATTGCAGATAATTTTTGTCTTCTCAGATCACGTATAAACAGTAGTTAACTTTTTACGTATACGTGGGTGCGAAAGGGCCCAATACTTTTCGACCGAACGAAATTTTTCGTCTGATACTCTTTTCAATTGTGAGAATTCAACCGTAGCGGATTCCCTATCGCTCCGGTCACAATTGAAAAGAAAATCTAGCGAAAAATTTCGTTTAGTGGAAAACCGCCTTAAAAGAACTATGCAATTATTAATCTTTAATTGTCATGTCCAGGTCTAATAGACCTTTGGCATTATGGACTACCTTTTTTTATCTATGGAAGTTAATCCAATCGAATCACCACAGCTGAAAAGAGTGTACCAAAATTAGTAAAAATGCAAAGTTTGGTTGCGAATTGTCGTAAAATGCGGAAAATATAGGCTTGCAATGTTTGCAAATTTTTATACTTTTGTTTAACACACGAAAATTGTAACCATTTTGCGCCCGAATGTGGCAACAATTTCTGTGCAAACTTTGCAAGGCTATATTTTCCGCATTTTACGACATTTCGCAACCAAACTTTGCATTTTTACTAATTTTGATACGCTCTTTTCAGCCGTGGTGATTCGATTGGATTATCTTGCATTCATCAAAAAGTAGTCGATAATGCAAAAAGTCTATTGCATGGTGCAAATAATCTGATCCACCTCGTCACATTTCCATTGTATGCTGAACAAGTAAACAAGAAAAAAATCCCGCTTGAATTAATGCGTTGTCGGAGACAAACACAGGGAAACAAACAAATTCTTGCAAAACGTGGGGAATAAGATGGATAACGAGATATCGAGCGAGTATTTCCAAATCATGCGCAAATTTAAACTCCAAACCACGTATATTCTTTATATTCTTTAATGGCTGCTAAACACTAGCTTCGAGAAATGATATTATAAAAAATAATGAAAACAACTAGAGTTGAACATCTCACCTCAACTTAAAGTCGCGTAGTCTATCAGCGGCATCCGCAGCCGTTAGAAACTCTGGATACTAAAAATAGAAAAATAATTAATATACTATTGATATCGACCTACTGGCAGTCAGACTATGTAACAACACTTGACCAGTAGTTGCATCTGATAGACAATTTGACCAAAAAGGTTCTTTTTGCCTCTTGAAAATGTTTAATACAAAGGTACTAGATTCAAAACAGTATACTACAAATGACAAAACAAAGTCTGGGAAATTACATCTGCAGGATCCAAGACAGGAATAAAACAATTTCAGAAACATCCTCAGAGATATATGAAATATTAAATTCATAATCAGGACTCGTATCAAATTCATATCTTTAGACTATGAATTTGGATTAGCACTAGAGTATAGACTCGTGTTTATATAAATTATACTCTTGTTCTATAATCCATATCTTGGATTCCCAAAGACAATTTAAATGTATGGAAATTTTCAAACGTAGTATTATCCACAGTTTTTTTTTCGCAATGTCCATTTCTTTTAAACCTTCTACATTACCATGCAACGGGAAAATGCTGATGGATTTTTGAAATGATTTGTTTATGAAAATGATCACAAGAATTCGGTTGTCAGATTATAGTAATGGAATACATGTCAGATTAGAATTGGGGCATTGAAAATACAATGTTAATTTGGGGTAGCAGTGTGGTTAAGTATAGATTATTTCATGGGCTAGGCTCGAGAGAATATTTAGTTTAACCGATCAGACAAACCGCTAACGGCAAACAGCTACTTTCAATTAAGTCAGATTTGAATGTATAAACTTTTAGCGCTTTCTCCCTCATAATTTGTTGCAGTATAGTTGCTTTATGTTTAAAACATAACGCACCAATTTTCTAGACTTCAGAAACCTGAGGCATTTGTTTTGAGAATTTAAATAGGTTTGCCGCAAAGGCCAACCTATAAATGACGCTCGGTGCTTCCTGCTCGACTCAAACTGGTAACACAGGTCTTTCACTTCACGACTACACTTACACTTTTACTATGTTTGCTGCGATTTTCTTCATTTGATAGATGTTAACGAGTGATTAAGTTACCGGTTTGAAAATAAGGGTGTTTATACAGTACATCATTCACAACTGACCCCTCGTTCACATCCACCAAAAGAGGAAAATCGCACCTAACATTGCAAGTGTAGACGGGCCTATAAAACAACCGTCGCGGCAAATAGCGCGTTTGATAAGAATCGAGCAAAATTATGGCAGTGCTTTCCACCCAAGGCATGCGCTCCTGATTTGCAAACCGGTCAGTAAAAATTTCCAAAATTTTCATATATAGATCGAAGTCCAACGAAATATAATGCATGGGTACCCGAAATAATATGGTACGGTAGAAACACAAACCTTGCGAGCAACTTGATGGAAACTGTACATGAGACACTCGACGAAGGAGAACACAATTTGTGGCTCAGTGGGTTCTGCACTTTCTTCAGATGACTTGTCTTCGGTCACAACAGGAAGAGGCATGTAGAGCTACAAAAAATAAAATCGTTTATGACTGATGGAAGCAGAGGGAATGAAGTGAAGCAAAAATCTACAAGCGTATGCATGCGTGGTGACGTTTTTTTAATTTTTTCAAGCAAAACGAGTCTATATTTAAAAAGGAAATGGACGCGTTTGTACCATATTACTTCATATTGACTTGCTGACGCCATTGTTATGACTATCACGTCATCGATTTTTCACTTTACAAACAGAATACAAATGGCGTATTTCGCTTCCTCTTCCAACAAATAGAGAAACAAATGTCTAGTGTCTATATCACTTTTGGTTTCCGTACAATTTGAAAAATTACCAAGCCTTAGATTAGCCGTTATCAACAGTCTTAATCATTGATAAATCTAGCTATAAAACATACGATGTTCAAACTCGTTAATTTAAAACCGTATCAACACAGCTTCGTTTCAAATGTGGCATAACAACTGCCTAAAATATTGTATTAGTGTTATCAACACAACACCAATACAACCACAGGTTTTTAGCAAAATATACTTTTAAATTCAAACATTCGTACCAGTAATTTGTTGAAGATTGGTTCCACGGACAAATGCAAATTCTCGTCAGAAATCTTGTGCGGGCATATCTCTGCCAACATTTTATAAATATCCAGCTTGAGGTCACCACTCTCCTCACCACCGCAAACATCCTCAACCACTGGAAGAATCTTCTCCAACAAATACACGAAGAAATTCTCAGCACTGGCACCTTTCTAAAAATTTAATCATAACTCTTTCAGAATGCTTGTTAAACTATATTCACGGCTTCAAGAGTTATAGGTTAAGGCTAGGGGTGGCGATTTTATCCGAGCGTAGAGGGAGGCTGATAATAATAAATCATCTCAGCCTCCCTTTTACGCTGTTTCCGTTAAAGCCTTTGGAAATCTGCTCATGCGGCCGTGACGGGCCTAAAAAACAAACCGCGCTTTGTCTTTCTTTGGCAGAGCGAACGTAATGGAAAACCACATTATGGCTATTCCTATTTATCAGGTGGATGAAGAGAACGTTTTTAGTCTTCTTCCTCTTTGGCAGACACGTTGTTTCTACTACAACTGCACTTTCTACATGTTGGATAGCAATCCCATTTGTGTTATGTGTCTTCCTTTTCCTGACAGGGTACACGTACACTTAATAAAAGTTGTGGATATTCGCACTACACGCCGAAAGAGTTAGAACTTCAAAGGCCTCAAAAACGGCTTATTTTATCGCACGTAATATCAGCATATCAAAATTTGCGAAATTAGCAGGTCAGTTCTATGTATATATTTTCTGACTACTTTAGCTATATGGTCAGCAAATCAACCAAAGCCAAAGCCGTACTCCTTTATCAAGAACTGACTACATTCTTTATACGTCAGAAGTGAATTTGATCGTGTGAACAGGCCTTTACACTATATGCAAAACAACCCGGGTATAAGTTAGAAAACTTGTTCAAACTAAGACATACGCGTGTATTAGACTTACACACCTGAAAAAAGGGAATTGCACTTCGTGTACAAGTGACGAACTTCTCTAGGGCTTCCGCGTCACTAGGCTAAAAAAGATACGGACAACAATTATGGATTACTTCATTTTGCTGCATACAGCCTGGTTCCCACGTAGTCTTAATCACTTAATTGTCGTGAACAAGTTATTTTCACCGATAAGAAATAGTCCGGATATAAAATTGTCTTTTTTTTCTGTATATTTAAATCGGTCATTGTTGACAGCACACATGCATGCACATAAAAATATTCCATCACATAAGCCACCTTGACTTGTTCAGGAGAATTACGATAAAATGGGGTCCAGGCGTAAATTAGCCACTAAGATATGGATAACTGGACTAAAGGCTCTTTTTCACTCATTGCAAAATAACCTCGCTGCGAGTGTTTGCATGTAATTAATATAAACTGTCAAGCATTGTGATTGGATAAAATTATTCACTGTTTCCTTAACTGTGCATGACGGGCATTTGGGATTCTCCGAGGCCATTTAACCCCCGTGCTACTAACCTGAAGTTCACTGTCTAGTTCAGCTTGTTCAGCGATTAAGTCAACCAGTTGATCGTGTTCATGTTTATACGACTTCAACTTCGACAAAAGACTAATGAAAACTTTAAATTCATCACCGGTCACGTCTGGCATGGCCTAAAAGATCCATTACGATAATTATATGAATGCAGTCTCATATTCAATCCATGTCCACAGGATATAGTTTTTACCAAATTTAAAGGAATTATATAAGGTCATTGGTGAAAAGGGACTGACTTAAAAAAGATCCATGCTGGGGCCAGTTGTATGAAAGCCGGATAGCGCTATCCACTGGATAGTGATAGTGGATTTTTTCAATCGCTCTAAAATCACCGTTGTTGAGTATAACTTTGATTAAATCTTAGTATTCCTAAATTGAGGATCCTCTTTAACAATTTTTGGTTCCAAAGCTGAAATTATATTGCTTTTCTACCATTTCTATCACAGGTAAAAAAAATCTCTATTCGGTGAATAGCGCTATCCAGTCTTCGTACAACCGGCCCCAGCTAGACCGACCGGAACTCAAGGGGAACGGTTCCAGTTCAACGAGTAAATCTCTAGTAAGAATATACTTCGTGTTATATACACTCAGTAGAATACATGGGCAACGACGCCTTGTTGCATACACAACAAACCTTATGAATTTCCTCGCTTAGTGCTTCCACAGCGTCGGGATTAGGATCGAAAACTTTCGGAATTATTTCTAGTACGTTTTCTTTAAGAAAGTTTACAGCATGTTCCCTAGATTCATCATCGCCGGCGTTGATCTGAGAAAATATACCAATTATTGCCCCTAAACAAGTAGAAAGCGAAATATGGTAAAAAATATACGACACATATATACGACACATATATACGACACGAGTAATTTGCATGATTTTGTTGCACGTCATTTTCTTATCAGTCTGATATAAATTACATCTCAGATTTACAACAATGCGTTTCGAGAATTTCTAAGTTCACTATACGTACTTGCACATGCACTTTAATTTGGGTATAAAAAGTAGATGAACAATTCTGTCTTCTTGTTTCTCACCTTTAGGATCCAATTCTATAACTTCTTTTAGCGCATTTCTAACAGTGGATAATTCTAAAGCGTTTCCTAAAAAAACGGAAGCAAATATTTTATAACAACCACAGATTGACTAACCAAAAGTAGTAGTAGCTACTGTACATACAAGACATCCCCAATGACATTAGCAAACCGATATCACCCTGTATTTCAAGTTTTACTCTCGCAAGTTATGTGCAAAGATACAAAACATACTTCTTTAACACATGCATGAAAAAAAATCATCGTTTCATTTTCACCAATAAATTTGTCTGGAAATGGGGATTTCATCATCACGAGATCGAGGCTCGTGAAATCCATCTCATTTAAGGTGGTTCTCAATTTAAGACGATAATGTTGCGACGTAATTTTTGAAAGGGTCTATCTATTATTTTAATCCTTATAAGGTTCGGGGTAAATATCTATATTGCAAAGGGAGAAATACAGGCGCAACATGTCACAACTGAACGTGTAAATGTTTTGCCCTTTGTCACACTCCATGTAATTTTGCACCAATCGCCGGAAGTTTAATAGTCTACGCGCTTTCGACAGTTTCACATCACGTTACTTGTCACAAAGATATGGTTTCAGACTTTGTAAGTTTGTAAACATGTTGGCCACCCCTAGAAGGATGCCATATCATTAGCCGAGAGATTGTCATCACAAACCAAAACAAGCAAGTGAAATATTTCATAAAGCATCTGCGAGGGTTGATCAATTAATCTATATGACTTGTTATATAGAGATTCTGATAGGTACATTGAAAGGTTATATTCAAAGAAGCAAGCACGCAATTCCTAAAAAATCACCTTGCTTCTGAAGCGAAAAAGATTTTAGCAACCTAGGAATTTTTAATAGATTGCAATCGTTTTTGCGAAGTATGGGAGCATATCAAGTGCTAAAGCCCTGAAAATTCTATTCAATTTCGTCAAAGATTCTAGAATACAATTAAAAGCAATTTCTTAGAACATGAAACATTAAACACTTTTTTGACAACAAATGGATTATATGAAAAACACCGAAGTTGTGTTTTTTAATACACCTTGTAAGCTGTGTTTCACTACACAGCAGTATCAATATCGCTGTGCTGCATCAATAATTTGAGATATACCGTGCTGTAGTCGTACAGTAGCAGCGATTTAGATTTTGAGAAAACAACAAGGAAATTACATCATGCTGACAAAATTAGTTATGACATGTATTGTGCGCAATCAAAAAGGTGTAAAATTTACCTGTTGGGAGAAGTTGTGTTAAAACGTCAGCTATCTTGGTCAGATGGTCCTTGGTGTCATAACATAGAGTTGGCAATGCTTTGATTGCCAACCTACGAATCTAAAAGAATTGAATTGTTGATTGAGAAAATCTATTCAATAGTGAAGGTATTCGGAGACTTGTAAAAATGATACATGCACAAAAAGATTGCTTTTGAGGGCTCAATAGTGCAAACAAAATCTAACAGAAAATATGCCAAATTGTAAAGGAAGCTCAAGCAACTCGACATCATTTCTCCCTAATAAATTGCCTTTAAAATTTGTTGCAGTCGTCAGATCAAAGTCCTTTATAATGCCAATTTCCAACTAATAATCGAGAAAACAAGACGCCTGTTCTGGCGTTAACTCCGGCGCACGTGCCAGTCTTCAATATAGAGCTTCTGAACATAAACAATACAGTTCATATTCGCATTTAGATGCCTTAATTGCGAACCTATAAATGTTCGATCGCGAAATTCAGAAGCACATCGTACTTTAAAAAGGATAGAAGTTCAATTGTTCAAAAATGTAAATAAACCGCATGATACATTCGCTTTGTCTTAAGCCCTGGTCAAACGAGAATGATAGTTGATGAGAGTTGAGAAGCGAGAGTTGATTAACGCGCGCGTAGCAGGGACTAGGAACGAATTCAATTGTAATAATTCAATTTTCCAGCGATTTTTTATCATAAACACCGAAACAATTTTATAACCTACTTCAATTTCTCCCTTTGCTTTCGTCGTCTTTTCCATAAGCAAAGGTCGCGCCTCGTACAGATCGATAAGTCAAGAAATTTCGTCATTACTCCACTTCGTTTTGCTATTTTTTTGTTTCTGCCCGTTGTTTTCAGAAGATTTCTTTTTTTTTCTTTTCGGCGCTTATTTGTAGCTTCTTCACTGCCTGTATCATTGCCCGAACCTTTACTTGAAGAGGACACGTAATCTTCCTTTTTTTTCTTTTTCTTTGATTCAGAGCCAACGATTTGAACATCGTTTGCCTCGGACTTTTCCTGAGCAGTGTCAGAAAAATGCTCAGGAACGTCGGCCATTTTGCACTATTGTTCTGTCACTAGTCAGAGTCTAGTCTGCTACCAAATGCAAACCGCTGGCGGTTTTTTAACTCTCATCAACTCTCATGACCGATCAAACGCGCCCAAACTCTCATCAACTCTCATCAAAATTTGAACCAGTTCAAAGTCGATGAGAGTTGATGAGTGCACGAGAGTGTATGAGAGTTCGCAGTCAAACGCAAGCGAGAGTTGCAACTCTCATTAACTATCATTCTCGTTTGACCAGGGCTTTACACTTTTCCTTTGGAATTTGCGCTTATATAGTTATATTAAATCTTCAATCCTGTGCAAACTACGACGTGTCAAGTGTCAACGCGCCCATACACGACCACAATCTTGTTATACGGCGAAATAGCAGCGATATTATTAAAATAGGACCAGAATTTACATGTATTAAATATATTCTTACCCCAATTCAATCTAAACTTAATCGAACAGCATGAAAACAACGGTTTATTTGTTCCTCTTGGAGGAATTGCCGTATCATGCGAGCGAAATCGAATCGTGCATCGGAAAATTAGTTAAAGCTGTGCACCACAACTCTTGGGAGATAAGACTGGGACGTAGATAAATACGGTTACATACAGATTTCAAATACTAGAATGTTTCGCACCATTCCAGACTTGCGATGACGAAAAATAAAAAAAAAACAAACAAAACAAAACCGGGGCGAATTTTCAACTCCGTCGCTGGCGCCGGAGTAAAAATAATCAAATTATCCTATTTGAACATGTTGGGAATCTAGTTGAACAGGAATTACCGAACCCGCTTGCAGCCTTGCAGGGTTTGTTATCAGCGATGGTTTTCTGTAGCGTGTCTGTTTGTCTTTCGTCTAGTATCGATTTCACATGTGTTTCAAAGGCCACTCGGCTTTTTTTTTTGGAGTGACTTACTGCTAAGCATGCAGTATTGCTAATTTTAGTCCGTACTCTTTTCACCTTAAATAATCCTGACTCAATCTGGATTAAGCCATTAGAGATTAAAGAACATGTTCCATGCCAAAAAACTCTCCCTGGAGGAAAACAGCCTTGAAGGATGGAATGGCTTATGGTCCGTTTTTTCTACACTTACCGGAGTGTCTTCATCTTCACACAAATCCAACAAGCAATTCAGGGCTGTAGCTTGATAATCTGGGAAATACTTGAAGAAACGTGGAATGAAAGTGGCGCCCAATCGCTTTTCTCCATTGCTTCCTTTTGAACTGTTTAAAATGGTTTGATACTCTTCAGGAAACTAAAGCGAATAAAAACCAGTACAAAATAAACCAAATTTTTGAGAAAAATTATTTGTATATAATAAATTTGCAACAATTTGATTTTGCATTTCAGGGCTTCATGGTATCCTGTCCTGATCGAGGGGTACATTCTATGGACAATAGACTGGCTTTTGAGAATCTCAATCAAAACTGTATGGTATTATACTGTAACATAAAGATTGTTGTACAGTGATTGAAAGCTCAACATTTTTGCTGGTCAACATTTTGCTCTAATTTAGTAATTTTTAGGTTGAAAGAATCACCATCCAACAAATAGAGCCATTGGCTATTTAAACCACTGGGGCCAGTTGTACAAAGGCTGGATAGCGCTATCCACCAGGTAGTGTTTTTTTACTTACTTTAAAATTGCCTGTTGTTGGGTATAACTTTGATTAAATGTTAGTATTCCTAAATTGAGGATTTTTGTGATAATTTTTCATTCCAAACCTGAAATTTTATCACTTTTCAAGCATTTTTAGAATGGTTGGAAAAATCACTATCCACTGGATAGCGCTATCTGGCTTTCATACAACCGGTCCCTGGTCCATAGTTTGAATTTCTACTTTTAACTTTTCGAAATTATTTCAAGTAGGAATTTTCACATGCGTCTGCTCTAGTATTTCAGAAAATTTCTTCATTGACATAGGACAAAACAAATTAATTTGCTGTTGCTGTACCTTGAGGGAGATTTCTATAATACTTTTATTTTTAATTAACCAATTCTGCTCAGATATTTGGAATTACACATGGGTATTGCATCGAAAATTCAGAACTTAGCAGAATCCAAGGTTTTTTAAAATACCCTAAACTTTTGATATATTCAAAATATGCAACCATAATATAGGCACATTTTGTAAATTCTTTTGTAAAAGTGTTTTATAAGGTTTGTGCAAAATAAAATGTGGACACTAGACACAACATAAAAAGAAAAAAAACACTAGACACAACATAAAAAGACATAATTAATATAAATTTGGGAATGTGGACACCTATTTTCTTAAATGGCATGGTGTTTGGAAACCCCTTCCACACTATGGTACAAATCAGTCAAGAAGGATGTCAATGGAATCCATCATTGGCAACACTAAACAGTGAGGCCGAAGGTATCAGCTTACTGTCACCACATGTGTGTATTTTTCCTACCAGGTGAAATATTTTATTATTTTAATTTTTTTCATTATTTTACAAGTTTTACAAAACCCATTGCTTGCTCAAAGAAAAACCTTTGTTTTCGATCAAAAATGAAGGAAAAACAGTTCTGAAATGTTGCTAGTATCATTTTATAACAACCATAATGATTGGCCATTGTTGCCCTGTGTGATCCAATCATATCAAGTGTTTTACATTTGGACCCTTTGAACGAGCATTACGACTTACGAGCAAAGAGTCTGGGTACAATGAGCAACATGGCGATCAAAGTAGGAAGTTGTATTACTGGTATATACAAGAAGAGAATGTGCAAATGATCTCTATTTATAATATATTGACATAAAATAATACTATGGTTTATATATTTGTTTGACAATATTTAATAAATGTTGTGGGCCTCTGTTCTGCAGTTGTACTAAATATAGAATGTAGACCTATTTTGGTGAAAATAATGAATAATGAAAAAATCCCACACGTATTTTTTTTCCATGTAACGGTAAGCTGATACCTTACTTCCCTAGGCCTAACCCCCCGTTATTAAACTTTTCACTTTTTAATATTTATACAACGATTTCATTCCTAAATATTTGAAAATCAACTCTAGTCACTTCACAAACTGTCCGTAAAAACGTCTTAAACATGCCACAAAAACCTCAGTTTTTTTATCCTAAAATGTCTGTTTCTAGCGGCAAGGATTTAGGTCTGTAATAATTACAGTGTAATTAGTTGATATAAAATACGAGTAGTCCTACCTCTCCAGCTTTTTCTTTGGCATCGGCAAGCACACCAAAACTTTTATACAGATGTTCCACACCGTCCATTCTTGTCCCAAATATCTAGGCCTTTGTATAAACGTCTTTCTCTTGCTACTTCTTACGTCAAAACATAAACATTTCCCTTTATTTTTATCTCAAACAGTACGTACACCATGTGCTTGGCTGCTTGCACGATGGCCGAAATAGAAATACTTCGAACGAAGAACCCCGTTTACATGAAGTATTTCAGCTGACGGAATGAACTCGCAGAGAATGCTGGGAATTTTCCACTGAGCGCACTTGAAAACTGGATTTGGACGAATATTCCCGCAAGATGTGCAGCCGCCTGATGCCTGATGTAATCCGCCTGCGCCTGTGGGCTGTGCCTGTGAAAGAGTGGTTTATATATCATGTCCGCCGTTTGAACGGCTGTCGAGGAACTACATATATTTCGCCGGTATTCAACAGTTTGCCAGCGATCAAAATGGATATCAATCAACTTGCTCAAATTTTGGCATGTACCCTCGATCCAAATTTAAGAGTAGAAGCGGAGAGACAGTTGAACGAGGTTCGGGTTTATATATTTGTTGAAAAATAATACGTCAAAGTACCACGTGTGTTTGAAATTTTTATTGTACTTAGTTAAAGTAGTTGTTTATTTTCAAAGGACTAATCACTGCCGTTTTGTTTTGATGTTAAAAATCGTATTTAGGTTTACAGAGCGCCAGGGTTTGTGTCGCGGTTACTTCAAGTGGTTATGTCTACTGAAGTTCAACAACCTATTCGCCAGGCTGGTATGTATACCATGGATATATCAGCAGTTGCAATGGTATTGCAGTTTATAAATACTTTGGTACATTGGAGAGACGCTAATTTTATTTATATTCACCGAGGATGGAAATTCCTATTCTATAAGTTTTAAACACACTTACAAAAACGGTTGAATTCAAATACCAGTTTATTTGATAAATTGCATACTTGCAAATTCTCAATGTTGTGTTCCAGTCTATTTGCACAAAAATCCAAGAAATTCAAGACATTAAAAAAACTTTAATTAGTGAGATCACATCTTGTACAAAGTGAAACTTTTAATGACAACTTAATATAACGTGTTGCATAACAAAATTTAAAACCATCAGCTCCCCAAACATCTGAAAACCATTAAACCAGAATATAGACCTGGTTTAATGATACTTTGTATATGATATGGGATGTTTTAAAGAAGTATCCCCTTTTTAATACCTGAGTTTAACACCATTATAAAAGTGTGCCAAACAGCTGCACAGTTTAACACTGTAAAAGACCACTAAGAAATGTAAAAATCCTGGCCTGTGTCAGGGGGCCTATTTCAGTTGATTGTTGCATAAGTCCGAACACATATTCTCCTAGCAAGTTGATTCTATTTTCGAATAATTTGCTATAAAGGTTCACCTTACATACAAAAGTGTTCAACATAAATGCTTTTAGGTAATCACCAGTTAATGGGTTAATTAATTAAATTCAATCTCCAGTTAATGGGTTGACAAAATAATTAAAAGTTTAGAACAATTTTATCACATTGTTTTAACATGTATATTACAATCATCTTCTTCAGAAGAATGGTATGCATTAAAAAAGCCATTTGTTTTCAATATATATATATAAAACATTGAAAAATTTACAGAATTGTATTGTTTTGTGTTTTATTAGGCAACTTAGCCAACCATTAATGGTGATTCTGTTTACTGTATGGCAGTCTATCAGTCTGAGACTTATAAGCCAGAAGGCTATATTGAGCCAGAAGGCCACACATATGAGCCAGAAGGCTATATTGAACCAGAAGGCTATATTGAGCCAGAAGGCTATATTGAGCCAGAAGGCCACACATATGAGCCAGAAGGCTATATTGAGCCAGAAGGCTATATTGAGCCAGAAGGCTATATTGACCAGAAGGCTATATTGAACCAGAAGGCTATATTGAGCCAGAAGGCCACACATATGAACCAGAAGGCTACATGTATGAGCCAGAAGGCTATATTGAACCAGAAGGCTATATTGAACCAGAAGGCTATATTGAACCAGAAGGCTATATTGAGCCAGAGGGCTACACGTATGAGCCAGAAGGCTATATTGAGCCAGAAGGCCACACATATGAGCTAGAAGGCTATATTGAGCCAGAAGGTTATATTGAGCCAGAAGGTTATATTGAGCCAGAAGGCTATATTGCGGGTGACCCATAATAATTAGCTTTTCCATTGTGATAAATATGCTGTACCATTTTTGGGGTGCTTTTTTTCAAAATTGAGAGCATAATTTTGGGCTCTTAAAATGGTCTGTTCACTCTAGAAAAATGGTTTTCATAATGTTGTGATTGTTTAAACCTATTTAGTAAAATTGAAATTATCCCAAAAATTGCAGATATTCATCATTGTGAGAAAGTCTCATTGATGATTGTTGATTGCTTCTATAAGGGATAGGTACTATTTTTACCTTAATTCTAGTCAAATGTACTGTATGTATTAAATAAATTTTGTTTTTTCAGGTGGTATCTACTTGAAAAATATGATTACTCAATGTTGGCGAGATAGAGATCCTAAGAACTGTGTTGATGTTGAGATGCCATTTGTTATTTCCGCAGAAGATAAAAACCTTATTCGAAACAATATAATTGAAGCAATAATTCATTCACCGGAACTAATCAGGTATGTAAACGTTTTCTCCTCTCTGTGACTATGTGTACTGGGTTTTGGGGAGGCTGACAGACTGTGGTAAATGAAATCTCAGATCCTCCTCCAAGTGTCCACCTCAATAAAATGTTAATGTCATGATATGGGGGGTAGAGAAGGTCATTGTAATGTTTCCAAGGTCATTCAACCAATCTGAGACCAGAATTTTCAATAGTCACCTTTGTTTTTACATGTACTAATACATAATATGATGTAAAATTGTGAAAATATTTTGGTGAGATTTGTCAAATAATCTATTAAACAAACACTAAATAAAAAATCTGAGGAAATTTGTATATGAAAAAAAAATATTATAGAAAATTCATAGTGGCATAATTTTAAAAAGGAATTATAATGTAATGTTTTGAAATAAGCAAACTAATATAATTATAGTGCATGTATTGTGGGGAACCTCTTTGGTTTGGTTTTGCTAGCATCCATCCCCTAGAACTCACAATCAAGTATGAATATAGGTATGGATCAAGGAGTAATACAGTGTTATTATTTGTGGCCTAATTGGCGATGAAATAATAGATCCAACCTTAAGAAAAAATTCTGTTCATTTTTCTTCTTCCCCTTCTAAACAGAATGAATTATGACTAACTTCACTTTTTTACAGATTACAATTGACCGTGTGCATTGGTAAAATTTTAATTCACGATTTTCCTGAACACTGGCCGACCGCTCCGCGCACCATTCATAATTACTTGTCCAGTGATAACAAATCGTCGTGGTTTGGCGCACTGGTCGCCCTCTATCAAATAGTCAAGAAGTACGAGTTTAAAAAAGCAGAGCAACGAACCGTCCTCAACGACACTATGAAAGAATTCCTTCCGTTAATGTACCAACGCTGTGCTAGTTTGATGCAAGATCAATCACAGCCTGCTACTGAAATAAAGAAAATGGTCATAAAGACGCTGTTTGCAGTGTTTCAGGTAATCTTTTGCTGATGGTTTTTGTCAGAGTTTTTGTACTCAAACACACATACACATGCTCACTTTCACGGAGAAACGAACTCAATTGATAACCTCCTGGCCGATGTGATTATGGTTTTCACATATCATTAGCGGTTGAATGGGTACTTTGGACTATTTATTGTCATTATCAGTGAATATATAGGAAAATATTGGCACAATCACTCATTTTCATACGTCAGGCGTACAACTGTCCTATTTTATATAGACGACTTTTGGAAGTTTTTGAAAAGCCATCAAACGTTCTAGACACTGATATTGAAAATAACCGGCGGAATTTGTCATATGCCAGGTACTATATTAAAATTCTTGTATTTATGACCTTTTTAGTATCATCTACCAACTGATGTGCTAACAGAACAGAATCTTCCAACATGGGTACAATTATATCAAGCTATCGTTGACCAACAAGTACCCGAGGTATGTATCAACTGGTGTGACTTCTTTGAAAGACTTGTATTCGTATAAAGTGGAAGTGTTCTCTGTGCCACGAAACCCTTGTGAAAAAGAGGAAGCCTATCAGCCTGAGTGTAAAACCCCCTCAAAAATTTATCAGGTTATGCCATCAGCCATGTAAACTAGTCTTGACTAGTCTGCATGTTTATGTCTATCTCGGATTTTAGTTGATATTGCAAGTGTCGCAAAAATTATTTTTGCGCATTGCAGCAGTGACGGATTTAGGGGTGTGCAGAATAAATTACCCAGCTTAAAATCGGAATCGCATTGGTAGATTTAAATGTAAGAATATTCTTTTCAAATCTATATCCAATAGCGTTGTTATATATATTAAGGTGTTTTGAATTTAAAGTTAAGGTCTGTAATTTATTCTGCACACCCCTAGATCCGCCACTGCATTGCAGTGTTTTGATCGACTATGAAGACACATTCGTTTAGCATGCAGAAATGTGATTGCTGCACAGACTATCCTTTATCCGTAATCTGATTAAAAGAACAATAGTGGGCAAAATTTCCTTAGCGACGTCTGGTCGAAGAACTGATTATATTATAGAAGCACAAAAAAAATATTTTTAGACACTTTAACATGTTGCTTACATTGTCGTGTTGGGAGGATTTAAAAAAAGGGCAAAATGTTTGTAAAGTATTTCGAGATTTTGGCGTCGATTGTAAAATTTTTGCGCATATGGTAAAATTTCGCTTTCTAAATATTCTAAGTTGGATGAACCCAAATATTAGCACTTCGTACATATATGCATGAAGATATTAGTATCCTCCACGCCCGTTTTTCCACTCAGCAACTTCTCGGCAAGCAAGCTGCTTCACCCTTAATATATCACTGTGTTTTAAATCATTCGCATGCAGGGCTTATCATTGAGTATCATGTAACTAACTATTTTCTTTTTCAAAGGAATGTACACAGTTGGATGAGGAAGAACAAGAGAAATCTTCGTGGTGGAAACTAAAGAAATGGGCTATCCATTCGATGTGTCGATTATTCGAGAGGTATACAGATTTCGGGACAAACACAAAACAGACATCAACTTTGTACAACGTTTTGTTTGCTACTTTCAACAATGGACCTTATGCGCTATAGACTAATTTTAGATCTGCGTAACAAGAAGAAAATGCGAAAAATAAAACGGAAAATGCGCAAAATAAAACAATGTGAAGTTGCAAGTTTTCTATGCTACTTTTGTATAACGTGCGAAAATGTGTTAACTGACTTATTTACAAATCTATTCCCGCAAATTTCCTTTTTGTTCCCAAGACAAATATTGTCTTTAGCGCATCAAGGCCGTGTGACACGATGCAATTTTTTTTGCAATTTTTCTTGCCACTTGCAAACCAGTTCCACTTTTTGAAAGATGGCAACAAATTTGGCAAGTACTTACCTTTTGTACTTTCTGTACTTATTACAACGCACGCATGTTTTCTTGTATACATGCAAACATTTCGAAAACCCTCTACTAATTTACATCTCTCAGAAGTAGAATTGCGCATTGCAAGTTGGAGGAAGAATTAAATCGTGTAACACCGTTTCTTTTAAAAACTGGCTTTTTCCCTACTCGTTAGCGAAAAAATATGACGGCTACAACTATGGAACAATTATACAGAGTGCGGCATAATGTGAAGAAAAAAGTATTTAATTAGGAATTGCAAGAGAAAAGATAAAATGTGGAATATTTGTCGACTGCATGCATGCACAGAATCAACAGATATGAATAAAATGCTCGCTGCATGATACCATTAAGCCCTGTTACACTTCTAAGAGATGTAAATTAGTGAAGAGTCTTGCAGTGTGCATGAAGTGTAATAAACACAAAAGTTTCGTTGTTCCCAAATATACACCTCTCAAAAGTAGAATGGCATTGCAACTTGCAAGAACAATTGCACCGTGTAAGATGGCCTTTTAGAGCGAATGGTTCATAAACCCTGCAAAATTTATCTTTATCTCAATATAGGTATGGCACTCCAGGATCGATTGACAAGGCGTACGAAACATTCGCAACATATTTCTGCAAAACATTCGCAGGTTGGTTAAACCGCTACGCCATTTAATATTTGAATGCAAATTCTGCGGTCAAATATTGATTCTAATGCACAAGATATAGCCAGGTGAAATACGTGAAACCTTTTTATAAACAAAATATCTGCAGACGTGAACATTTTGAGATCTTTCAAAATAATAATTTGAAGCCTATTGGCTGTTGTTAAGGTACAATTGTGAAATGACTATGGACTAAAATCGTCGGAGCGTTGCAATGAAAAAACAAGAGTATGATATGAGATATGAGTGCATATAAGAGTCAGCATAGTTGATGAGGAGGCCTTGGTATATTAAAATGTATTGAGTATGATTGTATGTAAACTATTAACGTTGTAAATCGTTATCTTTTAGTTGGAAACACACAAACAGTACTCAAGGTTCTCGACAATCACAGACGAAAGATATATGTCGCACCAAGAGTTCTTCAAATGGCTTTGAACTACCTTAAGAATGGGTAAGTTAATAGTATATTTTCAGTGATAAAAACATGGGGCAAACGATATAAATTTTATTACAGTAAATACATGTATACATGACGTTGCATGCATGGTGCGAATCATTTTAAAATACAATTGATAAACAAATCATTGCGCAACACAACAGTTTATAAATCGGAATTAGGTTTCCTCCTACTGCATGCTATCCTCCCTAATAGTAATTCTTTGTTAGTAAGAAAAGATTTATTGAATCGTTAAATTGACACGCGTACACAGTGATTTTTTTCACCTCCATGCGCGTGTAAAGGGTCGTCGTCGACAAACATATGCCTATCGTGTGCATGCATGCATGCGCCGTTCCTATTATCTTAATAGGATTGTTTACCTCCAATCTTCTGCTCTTTCATAACAGTGTTTCTAACGCACTCCACTGGAAAGTGATGAAACCACACATGCACGTACGTATCATGCGTAATTTGTTTATTTATGTAGTTGTTATCTTCCGTTACGTTGACAAAAAGTCACTATTCATTTGCAGAGCTTCAAATCTTTTGTGCAAGTCATATTTGTAGAGCTTATATTTCTAAATCTTTTCCCTCATCCAATTTAAAGGCTAAGGCCTAGTTCATACGTCGTATTTTGGTCGCGTCGAATGCAATTCAAACAATAGATTATGAGATAATAATGAGGCTGAATGAGGTTTACCATCTCATTATCTATTGTTTGAATTGCATTCGACGCGACCAAAATGCGACGTATGAACTAGGCCTAAGGATTAAGAATTGTGGCAAAGTTAGTAAGTTTATATGAATGCAAACCAATTTCCGCGATGTCGAGTGTTCTTAGATGTAGAGTGTCTCAATCAAGACCCCTGGCATTACTGTGTGACCTCTGTTTTCACATGAGCTCCGTTTACACTACACGCAATTCATTATCACGGCATGGGTATAATATTTACCCGAACCCAATTTTATGAGTGTACAGGCTACCAATACAAAGGCCAAGCACGAGCGAATTGGTATACGGTCCCCATTTTATGCGACCGTACGCCGATTGATTGAATGTTGTGTAAACGGATCTATGACTTCCTAAAACCACGATGTTATGCCACTTCCCCCTTCTCCCATTCAGTAGCGATTCAGTGCATTCTTCCCGCATGGCGTGTCTGTGAGGCGCTAAAAGGTGATAAAACATTTCTTTACTTCTAGACAATCATCGTTGAAATTGTATTTCCTATAATGTGCCACACGGATGAAGACGAAGAGTTATGGCAGGATGATCCCTATGAGTTTATCCGGTTCAAGTATGGTAAGGGGTAGGATTTGTTTGTATTTAATATAATAGCAATCTTACTGTATAAGATGACTGCAGGCATCATAATAGCACTACACCATATTTCAATTCAATAGTTTTAGAGATTCACCTATCTCCCATTAGAACTATATCCCTTTGCGTAATTCCGTTTGGAGAATAACTGCAACGTCACTGACCCGATTTATACTATAGACGGATCATCCGATTAGACTAGACTAGATTTATGCTAGAGACGGATCATCCGTCTAGACTGGACGAACTCCAAATATAGCAACTAAAAGATAGTCGTCTTCTGGTTCGTCTGTGTGTAAACACGGGCAAACAGACAGACGGATCATCCGTCAACACCAATTATACCCATAGTTCGTCTAGTTAGACGAACGGTAGTTGGGTAATACGGGGTTGGACGAACTATAAAAAATTCATCATAAAACGGCTCTTGTGCACTCTTTACTAGCTACATAAATAATTCCACAATTCTCGCGCACTTTCTAAACGCGCTATTCTGTTTCGTTTGGTATATCCGTCCTATGTCGCGCGTCTATATATTATAGATAATTTGTCGTGTGTTTATACTCATACGAATGATCTGTCACACGGATAATCCGTCTCTAGTATAAACCGGACCATTGAAACAAATTCCTTTCCTCCCGCCATATCTAATTGATGTAATGCGCTGTTTTAGACGTATATGAAGATTTTGTATCACCAGTCACTGCAGCCCAAAGTCTGTTACGAGGCGCTACACAAAAACGTAAACAAATATTGGATCCTGTGATGAACTTTTGCGTGCAAATCTTAAACACGCCGGCGGAGACAAGAAATCCCAGACAGAAAGATGGTGTTCTACACATGATCGGTACTTTGTCTGATATATTATTAAAGGTACTTAAAATATTTCACTTACAGAATTTTTTTGTGCATGATAATACTGTATTTTATCTTATAATTGGCCAAATTTCGCCGTAATAAATAAACGTTGGTTGCATATAGCTAGGTTTATTGCACTTGCATGCATGTGTAAGTGATGTAACCAAAACTAATCTTTCAAGTTTGGACTGTACGACAGTTCAGAAGCTTCTTAAGATTACAAGGAAGTGATGAATCATCAGGTTACATGTTAAAGGCATAGGCCGGGACCGGATTAAATGGGCTTCGGGTACCCATTTTAAGCCCCGTTTACATCACACTCAATTTGTTGGCACATCCGTATCCGACCTTTGTATCGGTAGCCTGAGCACTAATAAAAATACGTAAATTATTGTAACAATGTAGCCGTGCCTTGCAAATAAATTGATCGTAGTTCAAGCTGGGATTATATTTTCTTAAAGACGTTAAATAGTCGATCAGTTAGACGATTATTTTCTATACTAAAATATTACTTTCATTTTGTGTTTAGAAAAAGAAATATAAAGACCATATGGAAGCTATGCTTGTTCATCACGTGTTTGACGAGACAAGAAGTCCATTGGGATTTGTACGCGCAAGGGTAACGCGGAACACTTTGTACATTGACCTATTGTACTGAGCTTATAATCTCTAAGAACGTCTCCCCCATGCACATGTGTTCTTGCTTCACAAATTGCGGGAAAGGTGCACATAGCTGACATGCAAAAACAATGGACGACTTGCGCTTTAGGCTAATTTCTTACATCGACGATAAAGAGGACATTTTATGAAAAAGCTTATGCTAAAAGTAGTAAAACTGCCAACTGGGAGTTGTTGTAAATTACGGAAAATATAGCCATGCGAAGTTCACGAATTTTATATACTTTTGTATTACGGCCGGAAGTTTGTAACTAAATTAGTTACACATTTCCACACGTAGTACAAAAGTATACAAATTATGCCAAATTTGCATGGCTATATTTTCCCTATTTTACAAAATTTCGCAGCCAAACTTGGCATTTGCAAGTCAGTCAGTGAGAAATTATCAAACATGTTTATAGTTTAATACTTGCTCATTTTGCTGTACGTGGGCCGTGGCACAAACGACCTGTCAACATGACGTCACAGTTCAAATCAACGTGGCATAAACTTGGTGAAATCTTAGGGCTGCATGCTTTCCACTCCCTGTCGCGTTTTTTATACGCACGTAAAGGTTTCAGGCCTTATATATGTCATATTTGATAAAGCCAGGTGAATGAATCGAAAGAACTTTTTTTCGGCATATATTAGTTTGCGTTTTTTGACCCATTAATGGAATGATAACATTTGGAAGCATTTAAAATTTTCCGCGCAATAGTGGGAAGCAGTCCTAGCTTAATGTGTAAAGAAACTGCATGCATTTAGTCTAATTTGTCGTTTGTCGAAATTAACCGATGCTGATGTATTTTCCAGGCTTGTTGGGTGTTGAACTACTTCAGTAGAATAGCTTTCAAAAACGAAGCCAACCTTCAACGTGCAGTGGAAGCCGTCCGAGTCTGTCTTCTTCACGATAAAGAATTACCTGTCAAAGTTGAGGCAGCTCTTGCTCTGCAGTTTTTCATCAAGAGGCAAGATAAAGGTAAGAAATTTGGAAGAAAATTATCAAACGATCATATAACACTTGCCATCATTCATATTCCATTTCCCTTGCTAATTTCATGAAAAGAATATGCATGTATATTTCTAAAGGACCAGGTTTGAGACTATATTGGCCCTAAATAATCACATTGCCTAGCCCAATACAGATCCAATATATAAGATCAAGAGGCATGCGATGCTTACCATTTACCTTGGGAAATCGTACATTCCGGTCAGAAAAGTAAATGGTTCCAGGAAACTCCTTCGGAAAGTTAGGAAATTTCCGCTGAAAATACCTTACGACCGGAATTCTCGATTCCCTAGGGCAAATCGTAAGCACAAATGGTCTTTAACCGCGATATTCACGCCACGACTTCACCATAGGGCGACTTCGAGCATCACCACATCTGTCCTTAAAAAAACGAAAACATGCATGTGTCAAAGAAGGTTGTTAATGACTTCACAAATATACGTGTGCATGTTGCATTCTTACGTCAACATTGTTGAAAATCCCATTTTTTCAGCATGTGCTAGTGTTTTATGATCCTAATTTTTTGAATTGACATTATATTGTAAGTTAAATAGAAACTTTCTATTTTTTAGCAAAAGATTTCATTCAACCTTATATGCAGGCTGTTATTCAAGGTGAGTGCATGAATACCTATACTGCATATATTATAGTCACCATTTTGGTTCTAATGCGTGCAATTCAATATTTAGTATTTCAAAGCAAAAGTCAAGCGGTTTACCGCTATACATATACTATATACTGGGTTGTAAATAAATTAAACTACCGCATCCAGTTGCCCAATTCCTCTACTAACTATATTGTTAGAGATTCACTATAACCTTGCTTTTGATATAACCGGCCTCGTGAAAATGGGTTTATACAAATAAACCGTGGAAAAGGGTTATCAGACCAATATCCTAGCTACCAGACGTGCTAATAAATAAAAATGGCTGTTTTTATACTTTCTTTCAGAACTACTAAACGTTATTCGGGAAACTGAGAACGATGATTTAACCGACGCCTTGCAAGATCTTATAAAACAGTATCAAAACGATCCTAGACTTGGAGAAATGGCTGTTATAATCGCACAGCATTTGGTTTGTAACGAATTCCCTTTTCTTTATATATCTATGATTCTACTTCAGTAATTTCTATCTTCTACACTAGCTATATTTCTCTTTTCTATGGGACTCTAGTTCTAATTCTCTATTTCATGCACTTTTTTTTCGCAGGCTATGACGTTTAAAAATCTTCTGGACTCCGATGAATCAGATGATAAAGCCGTGACAGCGATGGGCATTTTAACAAATTTTGATACAATGATCTCCGTAATCGAGTCAAAGGAAGTAAGTTCATGCATGTTGTCGCTGTTATTAATAGGCATTTTGACTATCTGTTTTGGTTTGCGGTAGTAAGCTGTCCTTATATTGCAGAATTGTTAATTGGCCGTTATAGTTGGTGTTGGTGTTGATGCAGATCAGCAGATGGTTGTTAGCTGTTACTGCATGGTGGTTGTGCATGGTTGATACCGTTAATGCCGCTGTTGGTACGGGTGTTTTTTTTAGCCGTAACTGGTGGTTTATAGTTGTTATAAGTGCATTGGACTAGCAAACCAAAGGTTGCTGGTGGTCAAGCTAATTTTTCAGCTTGTCCAGTTAGTAACTCAGAGTATAGCAGCATCACAATAATGACAATATTAATTTAAGTCCCGTTTACACTACGTGCAATTTAAGGTTTGGTACGGATGAAAATTGGACCATCTATTTAGGTAGACCAAATTGTATCATTCTCAATTTCAACATCCTCAACAGGGTTTTGTTTTTGTATACGTTGGAATTTGTTTGCAGTTGAATAATTGACTGGTGGTTGTTTGTTGTCTGCTGAAACGTGTTCTTCGTTCACATGTGTTGTCAATAATTTTCTAGGTTCGCGATGAGTTGGAGAAAATAGTTTATAGCATAATCGAAGCAGTACTTAAACAAGGAATAATTGGTACGTGCCATTATTATATCAATATCGCTCTGCATGTGCAATTTGTCCTTGTGTGTAGTTTGTAAAGCTATTGTATGCTTTTTTATAATTTTTTTCCACTTCAAAGTACAGGGGTACAACCAATTTCAAATGGAAGCAATGCCTTGCATGTTTTTCTTATAGCCCTCGTTGGGAGTGCACATTTTTTTCGCAAATGATTTGCTAGACACCCTGAGATACGACCTGGCTTAGAAATGCCACCTGCGGGTCTTTCGCCTGTTTTAGATCAGGCTAAATTATTCATACATAATTCATTTTTAGATTTCTATGAAGATGTGCTTGCCATTATGGTCACGGCCACGTTATATCAAATATCCCCACTAATGTGGAGCCTTTTCTATATAATGTATGAAGCGTTTGAAAGAGATGGTTATGACTTCTTTACAGGTTTGTTTTAACCGTTCTTGACACCTTGAAGTTTAGGTAATTCCTTTGTATGTCCTTTCTCGTGTAATGGATTGTGTATTCCAATGTCCTTGTGAGAAAATCTAGACAGACAATACTCCTCAACACTATATAATGGCTATCTAAATAAGCTAGTAGATCTATCATAGGAGTGTGGTGGTTTATTATATAAACTGGACAGATAGTGCTCCACAACGCTGTAATGAGCTAGACGGTCTACATAGGAGCGTGGTTCACTAAAGTCCGCGTTAACCACTCACCAATCCTCACGTCCCGCAAGTCCATGCAGAGCCGCTTTACCTATACATGCATATACTTCTGCATGTAATTAAACAAGTCGATTTAGATATTTCTTTGAATCATACACGCAGTTTATTTGACTTTGCAGATATGTCCAGTCCTCTTCATAATTATTTAACTGTCGATCCTGAAGTGTTTCTTTCTAACCCGAAAAATATGGAGATACTCTACACGATGTGTCAAAAGGTATGATAAGGAGTCCTTGGTACATTATATAATAATTATATACCTTATATCACTGTATCGGGAGAGAAAGGTAAGGCCATTTCACTGTGCAAGCCTGCAGTGCTGTATATTTACATATAGTTACTGGCTGCCGTTAGCCAGCTCGAAGATCTGATTGGCTGAAAAATGCAATTGACTGGCTGTGAATATGGTAATGCCATGCATGCGTAATAAGATATGCGTGAGACAAAAATTTCTTATCTGAGTGGTCCCTAGTATATTTTCTCTTATCCTATGAAGGGTAACGGTTTTGGTCTTATTTAAAGGTCGTGTACAACAAGTTGTTTGTTCATAAAATCTTGCTGTTTATAATTTTGCTTTTTATAAAATATCGTGAACTGTCAGAATACTCAAAGTCATTTTGGTTTTTAAAGTTTAAATGTTCAGAAATAAACAAAATAGCGAAATTCTTAAACCAGTAAACTGCCGTTGTCACGAGCTTGCCCATGCGCAAAAGGCTCTGTAATAACTCCTTCAAATTTGTTGTTGCTCCATCTAAACCTTGTACCCAAGGCCTTCTCGCAGGGGGGAGGAGAAGGCTGCCTATTCGGTCAACCGAATACTCCAAAAAATTTGGAGTCACGTGGGCACCTTTTCCAGGGCCTTTTCCTCCCCCCTGCGAGAAGGCCCTGGGTACGAGGCTGGCTCCATCTTATTTTGCGTATCCTATCAGTGATCCTATCATTTTATAACCATGTTCAATTTCTAAAATGAAACAAATAGCGTCTAAATAAAATGGAAATGAAATTCTGTTAGAACATTTTTCAGAAATTCTGTTAAAACATTTTTCAGATACTAGCAGATGATGATACTGGAGAAGATGCACAGTGCTATGCTGCTAAACTTTTAGAAGTCGCAATATTGCAATTTCCGGGCCGTATCGATCAGGTAACCAGACGAAGAGTCTTTCAAAAACATTTCCTCGTATTTTTCAGATGAGATTAACAAAATGAAAGGCTTGACTCGTGAGATTAATATTTTATTATTGTTGCGCTCAATAAGGAAATTAGGGAAGGGTAGACACGATGTAATCGAGTTTAATCTTGTTTCTAGTGGATCACTCCGTTTGCCCAAGTTGCCTTGGCCCGATTAACAAGAAATGTGGTGACGAGTGAACTTAGAGTGATGTGTTTGCAAGTGGTGAGTATTTTGCATTAACATAAAAACAAGTATCGACTGGCAGTGCTATAGACCGTGTTTAGTATAGTCTGTATATAGATGTGCCAAGTCGGCAATTAAGAACACATTTTGTTTATATTAGCTCTAAAGTGCACGCGTCGAGAGAGATTTTCTGGGCCCTATCTCCCATATTGTGATATAATTATATATATTCGGGTCACAAACCAACAATATTGTTCTGCGCTCCTCGAACATGGTTGTGGATCAACAAGTTGTCACTAAAAGTTTCAGCAAACTAACAACATTGTTTGTTAACAACCTTCTCCGTGATGAAGTGCTGCACAACACTGTTTTGTCCATTTCATTTTTTCGTGGTGAAAAAAGTTGATACTGATAGTAAATCTTTCATATTTTTATGCCTGTCATTATTTTCTATCCTTCAAGTGATGTGCTGCCACTGTGTCCTTTAGAAAATAATGAACTGGCTATTTATTTATTAACTTGTGTTAAAGCTCGATATTTTATAAGCAATTTGTGTTCAGTTAATTGTCGGCAAGTGGTTCTTCCAAAATTGCGTTCTTGCTTCATTAAAATAATAAGGATAAAGATAAGTCCCGCAAACCAAATAAAATACATAGAATTCCTGACTGACATATAGATCATGATTTTTGTGTTCAAAGCCCAAGGTTTTACAGTTTTGAAAGAAAAAACTTTTATTGACTAGCTAATAAGCCCGATATGTCTTTTTAGGTTGTGGCTACGCTTTACTATAATCCAACGTTTCTTACGACTATTTTGGATAAATTGCATTTACCGGAATCTAACGAACCGATAACTGTCCAGTTCTTTGCTCAATGGATGGGCGACGCTAATTGCTTTTTAGGGTATGTATAATATGCAAACATGCAACATGCAACAAACATGCAACAAACATGCAACAAAAAGTTAAACGACAAAAAACCCCCGCAGTATTTCATAAGAGCATTTTATGGAACACTCAAAGTATTTCTACATTGTAGTATTTCTCAAACACAAGCAAAGTTTTTTAGGATCGTATTTAATTTTCAACTCGATTTCAACTATTAATATTTAAAAATAATAGTGCATGAAAGTGAAAAAAAAAGCGATTACGTGCATGTGCTTCCTTTCTGTTAGCCTGTGAGAAAAGAATCAATTTATGGAGGTCGATCAATTCAAATAAAAGGTTTTTATATAAATATATAGAAATCTTTTCTTTAATATTAATCTGTTCTCTTCACAACTTATGGAATTATAAGAAGAATTGAAAAATTGAAATTGAAAAGACTGAAAAATTTTCTACTAACGATATTTTACGCGCAAACGAAAGTTTATTCCTTTGTATTTGAGCAATTTATTCCAGATGGTGCAGTTGACAGGTCTGAAACAAAAGTAAAATGTCGCTCCGCGTGAAAATTATCTCCAGTGAAAAACCGGCCTTTAGGTAGAAATTTGTTGAAGATAATTCACGATCATTTCTTCTTTGTAGATTACATGATCGTAAAATGTTTGTTCTTGGTCTATGTTCTATTCTTGGTATAAACAGTTCTCTGAGGCCAAAGGGATTACATGATTGTGCGTCGAAAATCATTCCTTCCTTGTTAATGATTTTTTCTGGACTTCAAAGATCCTATGAAAGTAAGTTTTATCTAAAACTGCAAATAGAACGAGACGAATTTTCGTTGTTCTCTCTCCACTGTCCGATTGCTACAAATTTGATATATTTGACATCTGCATGTGACTGCATTGTTTTTCATGCTATTATTCATAAATCAGCTGAGATATTTCTTGTTAAGAACAAGCTTTGTTAGATGGTGAAGACAGTGACGATGACGACGATGACAGTGTTGAAGGCGAAGATGTCGATGAAGGTAGGGAACGTATACCAATACTAATTGGCTTAATAATTATCTCTTCTTAATAACCATCTCTTTTTCCTGTGTAGGAGAGTTGGAAAGTGACGACGATGAGTTAAATGAAGATGATATTGTTTATGTTGAAAATCTTGCAAAACGGGTAAAGCTATTGTCCAACATTATTTTGCAGAAACTAGTCTTAATAACACGTCCTTCTAATCTCTTAACCTCTCTGCATGAATCGTAAAATTTTTCAATTTTTCTTGCAACTTGCAGTAAATTAAATGCGAAGCTACTTTTAAGTGATCTAAATTAATATTTGGCAACTACGAAACTTTCGTTTTCATTACGTTCCAAGGATTTTTTTCATACTTTTTGTAAACTCGTCACTAATTTACATCTCTCAAAAGTAGAATTGCATTGCAAGTTGCGAGAAAAAATGCATCGTGCCTTCAGCTTTTCAGTTTCATGAAATCTTCTCGTGTATGTTTTTGCAGACGACGAGTGCGTTGCTCGACGACGATGGTGATGAAGATGATGAAACGGAACTTGAGGCTTATACAACGACAATTGACAACGAAGACGCTGTTGACGAGTACTCCGTTTTTAAACAATGTTTATTGAGTAAGTCACTTTCTTAAGACAAGCACGATCACTGTAATGGTGAAGTGTTAATTAGTGAATAACGCAGAATGAGCGATATACAGTTGTACTTGGGATAACACTTCAATGGATTTAAAAAAAAAACTCCTTTTATGATTGGAATTTTTTGTTTGAATATATCATATGCTTTAAAAGAGCCATGTGAACAATATGCGTTTATAAATGATCACCCATATTCGAATTTGTAATCAAGTGATTTTAATAATATTGTTCAAAGTTTTACGTTTTGGGAGGACAAAAGTATACTGCTTCAGTCAAACCCTATTATGTTATATATAATCGAGAGAATGATTGTGGGACGATTAGCTTTAATCGATACAGAATACTGTCTGCGTATTTACGAAAGCTCGATAATGAATAGTTAGAAACCGACATTAAAGGGTTGGGGTCGTCGAAAGAATAGAGCGGATGTGGGCAAGATTGTAAATATTGCTCCTCGCGTCTTGTAATAACATAAGGAAGTGTTTAATCGCACATTTCTGCAACGTGATTATAGGTATTCAAGCCCAAGATCCAGTGTGGTACAATCAGTTAACAAATAATCTTAACGACGAACAGAAACAAGAGCTGCAACGTTTATTCGTGTTGGCTGATCAGCGGAGGGCGGCACAAGGTGAGGATATTATTGACTGGGGATATTATTGATTGACGATAAAAATATTGTACTAACAAAAGAAATCCGTCGGGTAGAACTGAATACCCCAGCCCCCCCCCCAACTCAGACTTTGACTTGCGCGTGTGATCTCGCGCGTGTGTCGCGCTTACTTTGTTTACTATGGTCGTCTACTCCAGTCATCACTCCAAAAGTCCAATCATGACGAAAGGACCTTACAACCTTGACCAGGCACGAACTTCTTTGAGAACAAGGCATACCTCATACCGAAAATTGTCAATTTAAAATTCGTTTTAAATTTTTTGTAGAAACAAGAAATCTGGACATGCAAGGTGGTTATAGTTTTGCCAGTACCGCTGTACCATCTAACTTCTCGTTCGGTCAGTCCTAGTGTACGAAGTGTCCATGCATCACGATATAGCGACGCTATACAATGCTGATGATGTCTAACCTATTCACGTAACGACGGTACATTTTTATACCTTGCGAAGCAACCAAATACGAAACGAATACAGAGTAATTGATTTTAACCCCGGAATCTAATAATGTATTTATTTAAGCGTGCTTTTAAAATTATCAATAATCTAGAACAGTGAATAATAACCAGAAACAAGAAAAAAGCTTGCTATTAGTAATGAAAATGAAATTTCATTTGTCTCCGTCCCCGATTATCCTACCATAAAAGTCGTTAATATATTCATTATCCCTCGTGGCGAAATTGAAATCGATCAAAGTGGAAACTCGAGCTCTCTGAGCAAGTATGTTTCCTTTTCATTACCCCAGGAGATTAATAATGTGTTTGATTTTTCATGTTTAACAATTCATGCATGCCATCTTCATTGCAAGAATGTGCTGTTACAGCTGAGAGATATATATACTGATGACTTTAAAAAATACCATAGAAAAAATAAAAGTTTACATTTAAACATGGCTGTTATGCTTTGCAATATTGAAGAAGCTAAGATTATAATATAGCTACAAAGTTTCTATTCTTAGTTTCAAAACTCTTCTAAAGGTTGGTAAAACGACGATGAGACTTTATACTAATACAAGGGCTGTTTTTCCATTGTCGTGTTGTTTTTTTTGCATGTACGTATACACGCACGTAAAAGTTTAAAATCACTTAAATGATACATATGAAATCAACGATTGAACATCTAGATACATAGGTTTGGGTTCTGTTGATGATTTGGCGTATTTTTCTGGCTGAAATTAATTATGAAACAACTTACAAGGTTTTAAGCTTTTACGTGCGTGTACTTACACACAAAACACGCGTAAGTGGAAAGCAGCCCTTAGAGCCCCGCGGTGCGATTTTTCAAAGTTTTTTATTTTCCAAAAGCAGATAATATCCTTGTAGTTTACGCAATGATAATACATTTTGACTGCCCTGGCGTGCATAAATTCCAAATTTTGCTTCCAGAATTTAATTAATATGCTTCTGAAAACTATAAAATCTCAATTTTTGTCAAATATTGAATACACCTATTCTCTCTACAGAGGGAAACGAGGCTAACAAGTCGACCAATCATAGCTCTTGTATTACGGTTATACCGTGCATATATTTCTACACCTTTGTGCAGGTTTATTTTTCTTTCAACTGTATATACAAAGTTTTATGGAATATCATTAAAGATTAACACAAATGAATCAACTATAATACCGTTTTTTTAAAGTTCTATACTTGCGTAACATGTACAGTGCTTCCAGTTCTTTCACCACATAATTTCCTCGATCGATGAGCTGTTGAATCTGTTTCGGATCAGTGACATCCTTATTCTTCATGAAAGCTTGGTGTAATTTCGCGTGAAAATATTCCTTTCCTGCAGGATAATCTTTACCAAGGTGATAGAGCTGTGAAATTTATGAAATCTCAACAATGGTCTTTGTAATATTAAGAATAGAACTTTGGAGGATAAAGATAAATATAAGAAATTTCACTAACGACCTTGGAACAGGAAACTGCATGTACCGCCAATAGAACTATCCCTTTTAGCTTTCAAGCGCGCAATGCGTGACGGTAGTTGATTATCAATGTTAATTTGAGTTATGATTTCGCTATGTTCAGGTGCGATTCGGTCTAACAAAGAAGCAAAAAGTATCGGCAAAGTTTTCTTACAAACAAAATCGCTTCAAAGCAGAGCGATGTCGCTAATAAACTACCGTCACGCATTGCGCGCTTAAAAGGGAAAAGGTCTATTATGGCAATGACATTGCACCAGAATTTGGGCAATGCAAAGTACCAAAGTCTTCCTCTGTACAGCCCAGTTCATATTACCTGTCGATAAAGATTTTTCACTGCTATTCGCAGATTTCCCTGAGCTGCCATTTTGAAGAACACGTAGTTGCAAAAATACGCAGTTTTAGTTTCACAGTTAGCACCAAGCAGACCTCAACATCGCAACTCGCAAGTATATTGTTACTGTGAAGGATATAAAAGTACACATTGTAAGCGTAAATACGATAACCTACTAAGCCTGCTTGGAGTTACTTGGAATACCCAAATGGATTTTCAAAATTTAAAAAAAGGAAAAAACGGTTTTGGTCACAGGCTGACAATTACAATAGGTCAGTTCAAAATTTCAAATTCACTGGTATGCAAAATTTTAACCATTTTCAGGCATGACTAACACTAGTGATCAGTGAAAATTTAGTTTAGTTTAACTGCAAAAAGCAAATAACGCATTTTGACTGGATACACTGCTTGTATATTTAATGAGAATGAACATCATATTTCTTCTTGTCATGCATAAATTGGTAAAACTTTCTAAAATATTGTTCTCCTACTAGTATCAATCTCAAATGTAAGAGGCACTTTCTCATATAGTGATAACATTTACTGCCATGGTAATTTTTATTCTGTTCAAGACTTGAAGGTACTCTTTTTGGTTTATTATTTTGATATATATATATAAAATATACAAATACAATTTGGTTTTCTCCTTCAGCCGTATAGTGCTCTACACTAAAGTGGAGCTAGGTTAAAATTTAAAATGAATTGGAGATTAAAACCTAAAAATTGTTCATTAAAAATTTAAAGCACTACAGTTCTGTTTCGAGAGGCCTATTAAAGCTCCTCTCTCTTCAGGTGCGTGTTCAGATTGAATTGGAATATCCCGTGTACCGATCGTTCATAGTGGTGTGATACCTATCCATTCTTTATTAAAAACTTATTTGCATGCCGGCATGCATATTTGCATGCCGGCATGCACCAGTCAGTTCGTTTCTTTTGTTAAGAGTACAATACTCGGGTTTACAAATAATGAAGTACTTTTCCATTATGCATAAATTACATTTTTTCCCGATATTTGAATACGAGCTTGCACGAGCCATTATTTTCCAATCTATAGCTTATCTGATGTTATTATCCTTTAGGGACCAAATGTATTTACTTAGCTCTGTCGAGTTTCTCTTGTTATTATCTCGGAATGAACATGTATGATTGTTATAACGTGTTTTGAACTGATCACCAGTAAGGCCAATATATGTCTCCTTTGCGTCGTTGGTTTTCACAGTGGCCTGGTAAATTATCGCGTAAACATTCTCCTTTCATTGGGCAATTGGGTTTGGATCTACAATTACACATTCTTTCCGCTTGTTGTGGGGTTTCTCTAAGGATTGATTTGTTGTGGGAGTTAATTTTTCTTTCCAAATTGGGCATACACGAATAGCTAATTTTCAGGGTGTTTTTATTGAAAATTTTATGCAAAATATGTCCGCTCTTGAAGGATTCTTTCACAATATTTCTAAACTTACGTCCTACGTTTGTGGCGACGTTTTTGCTGAATGGAGGGTTAAACCACGTAATGTTCCTACGTCTACATCTTCGCTCAGAGTTATGGCTATTAAGCTCTATATATATATATATATTTATTTATTGAAAGACTAGCTTAGCTACTCTGAGTTTCACGCTATAAAGCGATCGTCAGGCTAATGACAGGTCTAGTTGGTATTCTCTATATTTACATCGTGATATAAGGTATCGGGTAACGTGTCTACATCGAGTGAAAAGTTCAGAGCGTTTGTTCAGCAGAGATTTAGTTTTGCGTTTCATAATGTATAGCTTCTCTTCAAGGCAGAGGTTACATCTTCTTGAGCCGGCTTTATAGGCTGGGACGGTTTTCAGGAGGGATATATATATATATATATATATATATACATATATATATATATATATATATATATATTAATATAATATTATTAATATATATATATATATATATATATACACCCATTTGCAAAAACGTTGGCCGCAGATAGATAGATAGATAGATAGATACTCGAAGTCTAATTAGAATTGCATATCATTACATTAGCATGGGATTTCTATAATATTACACAACATATGCAATTCTAATTAGATTTCGAGTATCTATCTATCTATCTATCTGCGGCCAACGTTTTTGCAAACGGGTGTATATATATATATATATATATATATATATATATATATATATATATATATATATACATATATATATATATATAATTTCTACTACCATCAATTCTGTGCCTAAAAACATGTTTCTTTACATTTTACCATTGCAAAAGTTCATCGTTAAAGAAAAGGGGCGTAACCAGTTGAACCTAAAAATAGCACACTTGCGACTACACTTTTGCGACAGTAAACATGCAAGTTTACAGGGTAAGCAAACACATTTTTACCTCAGCGGTAGCTTGCAAATAGTTTATAATCTGGTATTCCATGTTCCATGAAACCAAAGAACTATGTTGAAATTTTGTATACAGTATTGCACCAATAAAAACTTTCATTACACCAAAAATACAATATACAAATACCTCAATGTCTTTTGAATAAACTGTAAAAACTCAATTTGTTCTCAGTGTTGAGCACTAATATACTAATTGTAATTTTGCATGGTGATATCGCAATATCAGTAAAATAACTAGTAGGCACCTACAAACTAAACGAGACTATAACATGCCTTTTCAATATAACAAAAAATTGGGAAATAAATACGTCAACAACTTTGGGAATGTCTGGCTACCCTGGGAACATATTAATTTACTTTAGATATTTTGTTTGTCAATAATATATATCGAATATATATAATGAATTTATATCCCATTCAATAAAATGGGATATAAAGTATCACAATTTCACAAACCTTCATTTCAGTTCCTATTAAATTGCAAGCAAGAAATCCTCTTTATAAATAATCTTGAAAGAAGATGTCGAAATGTTGGACCAAAGAACCCAAACCAAAACTGATCAAAACATTAGGGTCCAGTCTCTCTCTTATTCTTTATTCATACTAGGAGTTTTTATCAGACGAAATTGCTGCCGACGTTCTGAATTAAAATATTTACTTTTGCCTTGTAGTTATTTCTAAAATTAGTAAAATGTTTACATGAATTTTAGGGATGACAGTTTTATTCAGAAATTTTTGGAAGACCAGGGAAACAGTGTGCCATTAATAATGGCAACATGGGCGTAAATCAAATGTTAATTAAGGTGGACCATATCATATATTCTGTTATGCCAGACTGATTTCTAATAAAAGTGTAATTGTTTTCAAAAGATATTAGTAAAGCATAATAAACAGAATATATTAACATGGTCTCCTTCAATTAACGTTTGATTGACACCAGTGGACCGGAGGGCAAAATTAACAAGATGCATGCTTAGAATTAAATGGAGTAGACACAAGGCCTAAAATGGGGGGGGGGGGGTGTATATTCATATATTCATGTTTCGTAGAAACAATAGCTAACTAAAAAAATCAGTCAGGAATAAGACAAATATATGAAAATGCACCCCCTCCCCCAATTGAGGTTCCAGCGACGGCCCTGAGTGGAGAAAGAAGAACCAGTAGCATACATTCTGTCCATTCTGTCTGAAAATGATCTAATAGGCAGCAGGCATTTTGGTGTACGTGCGTCTGGAGCATATAAGGCTTGACTTGAGTAATTCGATTTGGTTCAAAACGAAAAATTAAATGCTGCATGGCGTTAAAGCGGTTAAGGTTAAAGTTCTTATCTTACAATTTTACCTTGTATGAATACACTTCTACGCATGGCGGATTCTTTTGAATTCTCACATAAAGACATTCTTTGCTCTGTTCTTATCCTCTTGTTTCTTTTACACAAAGGACGAAACGCCGCGTACGGGGATACTGATTCGCACGCTTGATTATCTTGTCTTTTGTTCTCCTTTTTTACCTACCTCCTTACATACTTTTGATTTCGAACATCACCAACAACAATACACAAATTATTACTACACACGTAACTACTACAGTTTCTTCAATATTTTTCTCACGCACAAATAAAACCTAAATTCGTTCACACCACATGGCTGGTGGTTTTCCAGCACTTTGCTCACCACCCCCTCTTTATTTTTTTACCTACCAATTTTACGCCCCTTCATATACATTATTATTTATTCATGACTTTCTCCTTTTACCAATTAAGTAACAATGCTTTTTCAAAGATCATTAATGGTTGTCCATTATAGTTGTAAACTAAATAACGAATATAAGAAAAAATCATAAGCACATGCAATCCTAATGACTATAGATTTAACAAAAAACTACCATAACCTATAACATGCACTAGAAATGCCCTAAAACGGCTCAAGTCTTATCATGCACCTTCTAAAATAAAAGTCTTGTCATGCACTTTCTAATATTAAAGTCTTGTCATGCACTAATTAACTAAAAAGTTCCTGTTAATGCTAACGAAATAATTATTACTGATTATATAATGTTTGCTCTTGTCCATGGTTTAATATTGGCGGAGTTTAGCACACAGAGAATCGACCATTTCTTCACTATCACAAAACACTGAAAAGGCTGCATGACATTTATCGCCTTCATCAACAGCCGTCATAATTATAATCCGGCTGCTGAGATTCTCCTCGTTAATAGAATTCGCTTTCTTAACCAATTCCTCACTTGTGACATCGAAAGTTGCACATACTTCGTATCGGGACTTTGTCAATCCCAATTTGCCATGTTTGATGCAAGGATAAGGTGCGGCGTGCTGGCGTTTATACGAGGATTCAAGTCTACCAGATAGTCTCCCCTGGGACTTGTAATTATATCGATACCCACCATTCCGAAGTAGCCTTTGTTATGTAGGTATTTCGCTACAGGCACCACAAATTTATCATACACTCTCTCTCTATACTTATCCTGCATGTCCCAGTCAATTGATCCACCATGGTATTGGAAATCTTTCTTCACAGCGCATTCTTGAACTCCGAGGTATATGATGTTTCCGGATTTTGTAACGTAGAAGCCACAGCCGATAGTGCTTTGTACTTCTTGAATATATTCAGACACGACGTAAAATGCATCGGAGCCAAATCTTTCCGTGATCAATTTCAACTTCTCCCCGAATTCTTCACGGCTTTGCACCACATAGTTGCCATATCCACCGAAGCTTTGGTCAATCTATTTATGACGTGAACGATTAAGAATAAGATGAAGCCAGGGTCACTAAATAATTCAATTTTCTAAAGTATGCTAGATGAATAAGACTTTTAAACGGCCCTTGGCCTTGGATTTGTTTCGTTCAAGAATTACGATTATATTAGTTTGGCCATAGACTATCGAAGGGAATGTACTGTAAACGCTAATACAAAGCGCTGATACAATTAATGCGTGATACGGCTGTGCAATTTGCGCGGGAAATTAAGTCCAAGACAGTCCATATCTTCTCTGTGAAGATGGCTGAAAGCTTAAACAGCGAAACTGTTGATGCAATTTTTGAATATACTCATAAAGAAGAAGCTATTGAAAGCGAAGAAGAAAGTAGCGAGGAAATTAACGAAGACGAGAAACTCATTCTGAATAAAGAATGTCCAGAAATAATAATGTTGAAGAAACGCCTGGTAAAAAATTAGTAACTGAATACCATAAATAATGAGCATTTTTATTAAACGTCCAGGTGTAGAATATAAACTGATGTACTTGCTTTATTTGTGATTTTTTAATGAAGTAAAGTAAGTCTGTTTCTATACTGTTTCTGTTTTATAAAATTATGGGAAGAATTGCAATCATTTCAAAAAAAATATTGAAATTTGAAATCCTTTATATATATAAGAGTCTATTCTACATCTTTGCCATGATGTGGTTACATATTATAGAAAATCATGGCAAATATACAAATATTCCTTTTCTAAGCTCTGTGCTGGTGGTGAAAAGTTAGTGGAGGAAGCTATGAGTGATATTATTAACGATCCCTTTAACAAGCTAAAAGGAACACTAAATGGACCTCAACTGCCAGCGTGAGAAAATCTGGCAAGCATTTCACAACATGTGCCCAAACTCTTCTTTTGTTGAGGGGTTTAAGTCTTACTTGCGTTCAGCCTTGAATGATCAGCCCCCATTGACAATTTTTATTCAGACCTTAGTACGAAAGCTGTTTGAAAAAATAATTGTTCTGAAATCTGGTGCATAGTTTAGTTCTGAGAATCCTGAAAGTCCTGAGAAACATCTATTATAATTGTCCTCAATAGTTTCATGCATACATGTTGCATGATGTAGCACAAGTGGTAACATGGTTTGTTGCTATGGTAGCTATTTCACTTGCTTCAGCTAGAGGATGACATCCATAATTGTCCACAATAGTTTCACGCATACATGTTAATGTAGCACAGGTGGTAATGTGGTTTGTTGCTATGGTAGATATTTCATTGCCCAATTTATCCTTAAATAGAAAAGAAAATGCATTGCCACTAGCTTTTTAACAACATAATTACACTACATCAGTTTGTGTATTAGCCTTTCTCGCGATGACGTTTTTGGGGTACTTTCAATTTTCTCAAATGTGTTGTTTAAAAAATCATAACAACATGAAAAGGAATTTTTTTAGAATCAACAGACCATTTGAAGAATAATTCCAGCATAAAATTAAAGACAGCCGTCGTTACGAGGTCGTACGCTTACAGTTTTGCTAAAAAGTACCCCCAAAATAGCGGCATATCGGTCATCGTGAGAAAGGCTAATTAAGACTATTAAGGTTTAATTACCTGCATGATATCTTCATTATTGCCGGTTTTCTTGCTCTGTAAGCATTTGTAATTTCTTAGTCCTATATTCAACCTTTCCTTCTTAAATCTCTTTTTTTACAGAAAAACCTCTTTTGTATGGCATCATGAAAAAAAATTTACTTTATAATTTTAATTACTTATTAATTAAAATACATTACTCTGTATAAACTCACATTATATAAGAATTGCAACTCCTGAATCAATATACAGGGTGTCTCAAAAAAAAACGCAACACTTAATATTCTAAAATTCATATTGTTCATAAGCTCAATAGATTTTATGCCCCTGGGATTTTAAAATGGCTTCTAATCGTACAGTTCAACTGCTAATAGTCAAATCAGCTAAACTAATAATGGTGCAGCTAACAACCGAACAACGAGTTTTTATTGTCGTGCGTGATAACTTATTGACTGCTAACTGTCGACCTTGTAAAATAAATTGTAATTCGTTGATTTAAAATAAATCGTTGGTTTACGCACCCGACTTTGTTTACCGACGATTGTGCCACTAGAATATGATTACAAGCTTTCTCGCATTCCAGGGGCCAAACGTCTTTTGTGTTGTAGAACAAAGAGGATATTCATGAATATTAAGTGGTTGCGTTTTTTTTTTATACACCCTGTATATAGTTAATCTTTCGAGGTACATGTAGGTTAGGGTAATAAAAAGGTCATACCATAAATAAAGATGTTTGTTTTCGTCTATTTAAATTTTAGAGAAAAAATGTTTCTTGTTTTCTTAAGCTAATGGGTTTCTTTTGTGCCGCTTTCTTGAGCAATAACAATGCTTTTTTTGTTTCGAGCGAAATTACGGAATTTCATATCATCGCACTTTGCCCATCTTTTTTCTTGCAAAACAAGAGAATTGATTTACATATTTGACCTTAATTTTATAAGTGTGCATTAAGAGAGTCTGAATTAGTAAACTGTTAATATAAGTCAAAATCGTCAGGCTGGCTACGCCACTGACTGAGATTGATCAGCTTTTATTTAAAAATGATAGCGGAACGAATTATGCATGCGATCCGTTGACATATTGTTACAGGGGTCCATTAGCCTTCACTTTGACCCTTTAACTTCCGGTGCGCCATTTTATGCTAAACATCCGGAGGCGCAAACCGTTTAGGGAGCTATTTTCCCCAAAAGTCAACCTTTTCTAAAAATTCTTACCTTCTCAACTGTTTAACTTTTAATTTAACAGAAGAA